TCTCAAAATAATCAGCAAGCTCAGTGGCCTCATCTGTCCATGCGTGCTGCAAAAATAAGAGATAGACAGCAATAAACATTTCAGACACCCCCCCGTCCATGATTAGACGGTGGGCAGCCCCAAGTTTAGCTTGGCAGAGTCTTTTCCAACAGTGGCAAGCAGAATGGACTTTTTTATTTTCCGGTGCTATCTAGGTATGCCGATGATCTGTTTTCGATCGACTACAAAAAGCTTTTATCAATTACAGCCAATTAAGCGCTTGTAGACTACAAGCTCCATAGCGACATAAAACCGTTGGATTATCCGCAAAATCTGAACGACCATAAACACTGTTATGGTAGGATATACTAACTGGATATTGTGTGCTTGATTTGAGCTGGATCTTCTTGGAAAAGGTAGATGCCGAGCAATGTGCAAGATAGGAAAGTCCAACGCTTGTTCTTAGCATATGAATATTGAAATAGCGATGTCCAATAGGACAGAAAAGCGTCAGTAACAAACCCGCAAAAAGTACTAGCAGCTATCCTCTGTGCTACAAGATGAAGCCACATGCCTTTCGTCCCCTCTGAATGGAAGGTAAAAGTAGTACTGAGATGCAATGCGTTATTTTAGATTAAAAACTAGCTTTTTCACCTTTCCAAAGCAAGTTCCAACCAAAATCGGTCTTGACTCAATCAGCAGCATCCTCTGTGTATTTTAATAGATATCTTGCCATCCAAACTCATATCTGCGGATTGTTGAACTGGATTAAAAACGATCGGGCCAGCTTGGCGGCAAGATAGTTCTACAGGGTCGTGGATGAAGCGCAGTTCCGTCAACTTAAAAGTGGTGTTTCTGCAAGCTCTGACCTGACTCACAACCGCAACCGTGCTGTCTCTATTTTTGTGTACACCAAAGCAAAGCACAAGTGAGCCGCCGTTAATAGTTCGTTCAATCCATAATCCAGAAAAGTTTGTGAACACGGACCCAGACAACTTCGAGAGGTATTTTCTGCGATTCGAAGAAGCGAGGCATAGCCAAACCAAGATTTTACCAAAATCTTGGATGCTGTCTCTAAGGCTGTTGTTGTTTCGTCACTGTCGCCTGAGGTTAACAGAGCTTCGACAACCGAGTAACCCAGATATATGATGTCTAAAAGTTAAAAATCGTTCTTCAAATTGGCATTAGACAAGTTTCACTGAGGTAAAGATCATATAGCAGGACCGCCTCAATGAGACCTGCATTGTCCACCCACTTCCACCCACTTGTTTTTTGGTCCGGTTCCCATGAGGTAAAAGTTTTGAATATATCTTCATTGTTTTTTGGACCGTTTTATCAAATCAAGCCAGGCGACGGAAGTTTTCTCAAATCAATGCTCATTCGTGACCTTATGACACCATCGCAGCTTGAGAGCGTT